TTGTGGGAGTTGACTGTGAGGTGTGGTCTTAGCCCTTTAATTGCCTTCCTTTGATGTATTACTTTCATAGTTCCTTGACAATGTGAGTAGTCATGAAAGCGCTTGAAATTTCATTACTCTTTCACAGTGGTTGTTTTTGCACCCATGCACCACACACACACACACACAAACACACATTTTTTTTTTCAACAAGTCGGCCGTCTCCCACCGAGGCAGGGTGACCCAAAAAAGAAAGAAAATCCCCAAAAAGAAAATACTTTCATCATCATTTAACACTTTCACCACACTCACACATTATCACTGTTTTTGCAGAGGTGCTCAGAATACACCAGTTTAGAAGCATACACAACATATCCCTCCAAACTGCCAATATCCCAAACCCCTCCTTTAAAGTGCAGGCATTGTACTTCCCATTTCCAGGATTCAAGTCCGACTATATGAAAACCGGTTTCCCTGAATCCCTTCACTAAATATTACCCTGCTCACACTCCAACAGATCGTCAGGTCCCAAGTACCATTCGTCTCCATTCACTCCTATCTATCTATCTATATATATATATAATAATATATATATATATATATATATATATATATATATATATATATAATATATATATATATATTATATTATATATATAATATAGGTATAGGTTGGTAGACAGCAACCACCCAGGAAGTACTAACCATCCTGCCAATGACGTGAAAAAAAACCTGTAACTTGTTTTGCATGATGGTAGGATTGCATGTTTCTTTTTCTGTCTCAAAACACGCTAAGATAACAGGGATATCTTGCTACTTCCTACTTACACTTGGTCACACTTCACAGTACACACACATGCATATATATATACCATACATCTGAGTTTTTCTTGACCTTTTTCTAAATAGTCTTGTTTTTATTATTCCTTCTATTGTCCATGGGGAAGTGGAAAAGAATCTTTCCTCCGTAAGCCATGCGTGTCGTATAGGCGACTAAAATGCCGGGACAATGGGCTAGTAACCCCTTCTCCTGTAACAATTACTAAAAAAGAGAAAGAAGAAAAACTTATCAAACTGGGTTGCTTAAATGTGCGTGGATGTTTTGCGATGACAAGAAACAGATGATTGCTGATGTTATGAATGAAAAGAAGTTGATGTCCTGGCCCTAAGCGAAACAAAGCTGAAGGGGTAGGAGAGTTTCAGTGGGGGAATAAATGGGATTAATCATGGAGTATTCTGAGAGAGTTAGAGCAAAGGAAGGGTAGCAGTAATGTTAAATGATCAGTTATGGAAGGAGAAAAGAGAATATGAATGTGTAAATTCAAGAATTATGTGGATAAAGTAAAGTTGGATGCGAGAAGTGGGTCATAATAAGCGTGTATGCACCTGGAGAAGAGAGAATGCAGAGGAGAGAGAGAGATTTTGGGAGATGTTAAGTGAATGGTAGTAGGAGCCTTTGAACCAAGTGAGAGAGTAATTGTGGTAGGGGACTTGAATGCTAAAGTGGAGAAACTTTTTAGAGAGGGTGTGGTATAATTTGGGGTGCCAGGTGTAAATGAAATGGAGCCCTTTGATTGAACTTTGTATAGAAAGGGGTAAGTTATAGGTAATACATATTTTAAGAAAAAGAGGATAAATAAGTATACACGTATGATGTAGGCGAAATGAAAGTAGTTTTTGGAATTATGTATTGGTAGTATAAAAGACTGTTGAGTAGACTTCAGGATGTACATGTTTATAGAGGGGCCACAGATATATCAGATCACTTTCTAGTTGTAGCTACATAGAGTAAAAGGTAGATGGGATACAATGAGAATGAGAACATCAAGGAAGAGAGAGGTGAAGGTTATAAACTAAAAGAGGGAGGCAGTTCAGGGTAAGATATAAACAGCTATTGGAGATAGATGGGCTAATGAAGCATAGGCAATGGGGTCGAAGAGGTTGGGTAGGTTTTAAAAATGTAGTGTTAGATGTTCAGCAGAAGTTTGTGGTTATCAGGAAGTGGGTGCAGGAGGAAGAGGAGCGATTGGTGGAATGATGAAGTAAAGGAGTAGTAAGGAGAAAAAGTTAGCATATGAGAGTTTTTAACAAGTAAAGTGATGCAAGAGGAAGAGTATATGGAGAAAAGAGAGAAGTTAAAGAGAGTGGTGAAGCAATGTAAAAGAGAGCAAATGAGAGAGTGGGTGAGATGTTATCAACAAATTTTGTTGAAAATAAGAAAAAGTTTTGGAGTGAGATTAAACAAGTTAAGAAAGCCTAGAGACAAATGGATTTGTCAGTTAAAAATAGGAGTAGGAGTTATTAATGGGAGTTAGAGGTATTGGGAAGATGGAAGAATATTTTGAGAATTGTTAAATGTTGATGAAGATAGGGAAGCAGTGATTTCGTGTATAGGCAAGGAGGAATACCATCTTGTAGGAGTGAGAAGAGCAGTTGTAAGTGTGGGGAAGTTCGTGAGCATAGTAAAATGAAAGGGGGTAAGGCAGCCGGATTGATGGGATAAAGATAGAAATGTTAAAAGCAGTGGGGATATAGTTTTTGGAGTGGTTGGTGCAATTATTTAATAAATGTATGGAAGAGGGGAAGGTACCTAGGGATTGGCAGAGAGCATGCATAGTTCCTTTATAAAGGCAAAGGGGATAAAAGAGAGTGCAAAAATTATAGGGGATAAGTCTGTTGAGTTACCTGGAAAGTGTATGGTAGAGTTATAAATTGAAAGAATTAGAGTAAGACAGAATAGGATAGCAGATGAACAAGGAGGTCTTAGAAAGTAGGGGGTGTGTGGACTCAGTGTTTACAGTGAAACATATAAGTGAACAGTATTTAGATAAGGCTAAAGAAGTTTGTGGCATTTATGGATTTGGAAAAGGCTATGACAGGTGGATAGAGGGCAATGTGGCAGATGTTGCAAGTGTATGGGTAGGTGGTAGGTTACTGAAAGCATGAAGAGTTATTTAACGAGGATAGTGAGGCTCAAGTTAGAGTATGTAGGAAGAGGGAAATTTTTCCCAGTAAAAGTAGGCTTAGACAAGGATGTGTGAATGTCACCGTGTTGTTTAATATATTTATAGATGGGGTTGTAAGAGAAGTAAATGCAGGGTCTTGGCAAGAGGCGTGGAGTTAAAAGATAAAGAATCACACACAAAGTGGAGTTGTCACAGTCTGCTCTTTGCTGATGACACTGTGTGCTCTGGGAGATTCTGAAGAAAATTGCAGAGATTGGTGGATGAATTTGGTAGGTGTGCAAAGAAGAAAATTAAAGGTGAATACAGAAAGAGTAAGGTATGAGGATACAAAAAGATTAGTATAAAGATTGATATCAATTGGGGAGAGAGTATGGAGGAGTGAACGTATTCAGATATTGGGAGTGGACTGTCAGCGGATGGTCTATGAAAGATGGGGTTTAAATCATAGAATTGATGAGGGAAAAAAGGTGAGTGGTGCACTTAGGAGTCTGTGGAGACAAAGAACTTGTCCTTGGAGGCAAAGAGGGGAATGTATGAAGTATAGTTACCAACACTCTTATATGGGTGTGAAGCTGGGTGATGAAATGATTGCAGCGAGGAGAAGGTTGGAGGCAGTGGAGATGTCATGTCTGAGGGCAATGTGTGGTGTGAATATAATGCAGAGAATTCGTAGTTTGGAAATTAGGAGAGGTGCGGATTACCAAAACGTTTGTCCAGAGGGCTGAGAAGGGTTTGTTGAGGTGGTTCTGACATTAGAGAGAATGGAGCGAAACAGAATGACTTCAAGATGTATACATCTGTAGGGAAGGAAGGCGGGGTAGGGGTCGCCTAGGAAGGGTTGGAGGAGGGGGTAAAGGAGGTTTATGTGTGAGGGGCTTGGACTTCCAGCAGCATGCGTGAGCGTGTTTGATAGGAGTGAATGGAGACAAATGGTTATTACTTGACGTGCTGTTGGAGTGTGAGCAAAGTAACATTTATGAAGGATTCAGGGAAACCGGCATGCGGACTTGAGTCCTGGAATGGGAAGTACATGCCTGCACTCTGAAGGAGGGTTGTAATGTTGCAGTTTAAAAGCTGTAGTGTAAAGCACCCTTCTGGCAAGACAGTGAATTGGAGTGAATGAATGTGTGAAAGTTTTTCTTTTTCGGGCCACCCTGCCTGGTGGGAGATCGGCCGGTGTGATAATAAATAAAATAAAAATATATTATAATGATATATATATTATATTATATATATATTATATATAAAATATCATATATCATTATTTTATATATATATATGATTATATAGGGTAAATGTATTAATATATATTATAAATATACTATATATTAAATATAAAATATATATTATATATTATATGTATATTGTATGATATAGAAAAAATATTATATATATATATATATATATATATACATGTATATATAATATATATATACACAACAACCTTCCATTGGGAAGTGAACTAGAATTCTTCCACCGTAAGCCATGCTGTTGTAAATAAGGCTACTAAATGCTGAGCAAGGGGCTATAACCCCTTCTCCTGTATAAATTACTAAATTTAAAGGAGAAACTTTCGTTTTTCTTTTTTGGGCCACCCTGCCTTGGTGGGATAGGGCCCGGGTTGTGTTGAATGAAAGAAAAGAATATAATATAATATTTATATTAATATATTTTATATATATATATATATAAAAATAAAATATATATATAAAAAATTTTATATTTATTTATTTTTTTTATTACAACTGGCCATTCCCACCAAGGCAGGGTGGCCCGAAAAAAAAAAACTTTCACCACCCTTCACCCATCACTGTCTTGCCAGAAGGGTGCTTTACACTACAGTTTTTAAACTGCAACATTAACACCCCTCCTTCAGAGTGCAGGCACTGAAGGAGGGGTGTTAATGTATATTATATATATATATATATAAAAATATTTTATATATAAAAATATATATTTATATATATATATATATTATATATATAAAAATATATATATATATAAAAAATATATAAAAATACACACACACAAAAGGGATAAGAAAAGCAACAGACCTTGAACATATGCCAGTTTATTATGGGACACCATGGCCATATAAGGACAAGATACAGGGTACGGGTGGGACGATCAAGCCTTCCTGAAACCCCATGACTGGCTGGCTCTTTATCATAGAGCTTTGAGCTCAATACCAGAACACATCTCAGAGGCCTTAATGACAGTGGACAAGGGGGGTTGTGATTCTGACTAGTGCTCATGAACCTCGTGTAAAAGAAGTACTAAATTGTACAAGTCCCAGCAAGGCAGTGGGTCCCTCACCTTCCAGATAATTTGGCCTCTATGGTAAGAGTTTACACTGGGTGATGAGATATAGAAAGGCAGTAGTGTGGAAAGAGGAGCACTGTAACCCAATGTGCACAAAGTGAGGATCTAGCCAATCCCACACTTGGGCACCACTTGGATACTCCATGACGACATGTTCATTCTCTTACAAGCGGGTACCACCCAACCTTCCCGCTAACAAGTAAGGCTTGCAAATAACATGTTTTTGTGCACTTTAGTGACATGAATTTACACCATCAGGTGAGGTGAACAAATAAAATCTGAAATACATAAAATTGAATATATATATAATATATATATATGTTTATTATACATTTATCTGCTAAACACTATATGAAACTAACAACATCTTCAAAGTTAAGTTTGTCAACAGAAAACCTCTGTTAAGTGGTTGGCACAAGTATTGATTAAGGTGTCATGATTTAGCTGGAGGCTGGTCCAATGGTACACAACATTCTGAGATACATTTGCACTGGGCTGCACATTCACTCTGGAAACTGCCTACCAGCAGTACATGTACAAACTTACTCTTTGATAATATGTAATGAAAATAAATGTGGTTCAGCAATAAATATAACTGGTTGTCCAGTCTACCTATGGAACACTACAACCTTAAGAAATTTAAGACACCGTGTATGCACATCATAAAAATCTAGCTAATCTTTGGTTCGTCGAACAAGCCCACATGCGAACACTGGGCAGACATCACATCATGACTCACATCATTGCCTGATAAGTTACAGTGCTCTGCCCAACCTGGGGACCATCTTAGACACTGCTGTCAAGCGTCAGGATCACTCAACATTTATCACCACAAGACCACCACTGCTTATATATTACAGTTTTCATCACCGCAGATGTATACACATCTACCACACCGGAACAATTAACACTAAATATCACTGGTCACTCGGCTAAGTGGCACATGCCTGGCAACCCTTCAAAAGCAGGGTAACTTTGGCAGTGCTCTGAAATGCAAGCACAGTCGACCGCTTTTTTGCAGTTTCGTGGAGGAGGCAGCAGAGGCCTGTATGTAATAGAGCTCTTGCTACTCAAGTTATATTATGTGTTACTTTACTTCGGTATCTTCTTCCATTGGCTCCTCTTCGTCATTTGTGTTTTCAGCAGCTGAGTTTTGTGGAGGTGGCTCTGGGCTCCTGCAAAGATAATTGTAAATATTTGCATTAAGACATGTTTACAATGCATAATTTCTATTACATCAGGATTTCCTTATACTATATGTATAGAATGCATCCTAATTGTGGCATACCATGAATCAAAAATTTCCACTTTGAGCTTAATTCACTCTTTCTTCTCTTCAGTTGCACCCTTTATATGTTAAGGTAGCATTTAACTTTTCCCTTACCCCCTTGGGAGGTTCCAGCAGTTTGCCCCCTCAAGGAAGGTTCCTTGATGTTGGTGAGGGGCTCTTGATTTAGGGAATTGGATCTGTGCTCCAGTTCCCCGAATTAAGCCTGAATGCCTTCCACACCCCCCCTCCCAGGAGCTGTATAATCCTCCGGGTTTAGCGCTTCCCCCTTGATTATAATAATAATAATCCAGCAGTTTGTGTCTGTTCTTCCCCACTGCCATGCGTGAAAGCCCAAATACCTACAGTTGCTATCTTGCTCTCTTCTTGATCACTTCCGGTCTCATTCTCATGCTGTTGCAGTGTACACTAATGGTTCTAAATCCTCTGATGGTGTCAGGTTTGCAGCAGTGTTTCCGGACAGTGTAGTGCAAGGACATTCATTAGACTCTGCTAGCATTTTTACAGCTAAATTGTATGCAATTATCATTATTGCATCTATGTCTCTCTCGTCATTTGTAGCAGTCTCAGACTCCCTTAGTGCTTTGCAAGCTATTACAAAATTTGATTCATCTCATCCCCTGGTTCTTTGTACACAACATTGGTTACACTGCATTTCTAGCAAAAAAAAAAAAAAACAGTTTTCTTCTGAGTTCCCAGTCATGTTGACATTCAGGGTAATGAACAGGCAGACACTGCTGTGCAGTCAGCAGTACATGACCTCCCAGTTTCATATAGAGGTGTTCCATTCACAGACTATTTTGCTGTAATCTCTAACTACCTTTGCAACTGTTGGTAACAATACTAGTCTAACACAACAAATTACATTCTACCAAACCAAAGTTAGATTTCTGGCCATCTTCTTGTCGTCGAGGTTGGGAGACTACGCTCTCCCATCTTCGTATCAGGCACCCTGTTCCACTCTGAGAATTGCTAGGTTCCAATTTCAGTTGGCCACGTTCTATTGGACTGTCCAGTCTATGAAGAAGCACGCAGAATTGACCAACATTGTCACCACTCTCATGCCCTTACTTTATCTTCCATCCTTGGTGACAGACCCACCTTTGACTTGAGACTCCTGCATTGACTTTTCTGACAGCAACTGATTTACTACACAAACTGTGATGATACTTATTTTAACACATTCAGCCCCTTCATATTTCTACCTCTGTTCTTGCCACCCTAGCTGCTGCCTGATCCAGCAAAACCCCCTGCCCTACAGCTCTGTATGGCCCTAGTAGGTTTAGCACTGTTTTGTTAATAATTTAGCTCAATTTCAAGCTACGTACTTCCAGTCCTGAAACCAACCAAAGTCGTCTCTATTTCGATAGTATGTCTACCATTCTATCAATACACTAGGGCCCCACTTTATGGCGTTCCACTAATACGGACATTTCAGATTATGACCAAAACTCTCTATAAAGCACACCCCACCCAGTTTGTACGTTTTCTGTGAGCACCACGTCTCCATTATGTCTGGAAACTCTAAAATTTTAAGTGTTTTTAAAAAGTTATTTCATGTTTTATATACAGGAAGGCCCCACTTATACGGCGGGTTAGGTTCCAGGCTACCGCCGTAAAGCGGAAATCGCCGTAAAGTGGAACACCCTTTTTTTCCACTTATAAATGCATACAAACACTAGATAACAAGTTTACACTAACATATATTAAGTTAGCAATAGAACCAGGCATCAAAAAACAATAAAAAGGTACAATACACACATAGTGCACTCATTACTTACCTTAAAATATTTATAGTCTTAATCTAGGGTGAGACAAGTAGTATTTATTGTAAGAAATCAAGTGTGGTATGTATTGAAATAGCCTCACCGGGCCCCCCCACCCACACATACTATTTATGATATTTAAGCCCCCCAGAGCGATAAAATTTATTACATTTCACTCATTCTTCCCTTTAAAAAAATTTTTTGTAGTCTTAATGTGGGTCAGGTAAGAAATGGGATAAAACGAATAATGAGAGAGGAAAAATGAATACTGAGAGGGGGCAGGGCAGTTATGTAAACAATTATTATTATTATAATAAAAAAGAAGCGCAAAGCCAAAGGGGATTTCAGGTTATGTAAAAAAACCCAGGCGAAGGAAATTTTTTGTAAAAAAAACAAGTGTAACGTCTGTTTGGGTACAAGTTACATTGTGTACGGGGGTTGTCCACTTTGATACGGTAAAATTTAAAAAAAGAAGAACACCCCCTTTCTCATGTAATTTTTCTTTTGGGAAAAAGAAATGAAGCTCTGAGTAAAGGGCAATGGAAATAAGCACACGGATTTTTTGGGTTATCCTAGGTTTCTACCGTAGTTTTTAGTATGATAATCTTGTAACTGTATTTGTGTTACCTAATAAATTTATTTTACACTTCGAAAGGAATAATTTTTTACATTTACCCCATAACACTTTTACTTTATGTAGTTTAAGAAAATGTTTTTCTTTGGGGTCACTGTACAAGTTATTGGCTCCCACATCTTATATTTTTGTTTTTTTTTCTATTGTGGGGTGTATTTATCATCTTTTTATGTTATGTATCGTGTTTATTATATAATTTTTAAAAAAAATATGGGTGGATTAAAGAAAATGTGTAATTTCCGAAATACGACTTTAATGAGACCGGTATTGTTATTATCACTTTTTGCAAGCGTCTGCTACGAAACTCACATTTGTTTTTTTCTATGTGGGGTGTTTTATCTTTTTTAATGTTATGCTCGGTTTTTTATAATTTTGAAAAAAAATATCATGGATGGATTAATGAAAATGTGTATATTACCCTAATTACGACATTTAATGGACTCGTATTGTTTTATAAATTGTGCAAGTCGTCTGCTAGACATCTCCATTTTTTTATTTATTTATGTGGGGTGATTTATCTTATTTATATGTATGATCGTGTTTATTATATAAATTTTGAAAAAAAAAATATCATGGATGGTTAAAGAAATGTGTTTTAACTAATATACGACATTTAAATGACTCGTGTATGTAGTTTATTTTTGGTACAGGTTACATAAGTATAATTATGGTATATAAAATATGAAAAACTTTTTAAAAAAATTTGAAATTTTTAGTTCCCGACAAAAGGAGAGACTTAGTGCTTATGGCTCATGGAGAATTTAAAAAAACAGGGTGGGGACGGGACCCTATTTTGAAAAATCAGGGGGGGGGGGCCGTATAGTGAGTTTTTTTCATAATTTAAATGTCCTATTAGCGGGAAGCCGTAAAGTGAAACGCCGTAAAGCGGGGGTTTCCCGTATACAGTGGACCCCCCTTACGATATTTTTTTCATTTCCAGAAGTATGTTCGGGCCAGTATGACCGAATTGTTCCCAAAAAGGGAAATTGTGAAATGATTAGTCCATTTCAGACCCCAAACATACAGACAAAAGCACTTATTAAATACATTACTAATTGGACATTAGGAGGTGATCGTTTAAACGGGGTCCACTGTAAAATTTTTTTTTTTTTCTTTTTTGTACCTTTACCTAAATAAACTTTCGTATGGAAAGCGGTAAATTAAAATCACTAAGAGTGCTTATTTGTTTTAAAAAACCATATTAATAAAGGGTTTTTTTTTTTTTTTTTTAAAGTCCCGTTTTCCCCCGAGGGGGTGCTCCCTCCCAAAAAAAAAATCTTCTATATTTCTTTCCTCCTCAAAAAACTCCCCAAAAATCACTGTTTTTTTTTTCCCGAGGGCTCAGGGGAATACAACAGTTAGAGCATTTAAAAGAAAATCTAAATATCCCCCCAAAAAATGCCAAAAATCCCAAACCCCTCCCTTTTAAAGGGGCAGGCATTTTACTTTCTTTCCCCGGACTCAAATCCGGCTATATAAAAATAACCGGTTTCCCCGAATCCTTCATAAATATTACCCCGTCACACTCCAAAAACCCCATCGTTTTTAACATTAAAATGGTATAAAATACCGACAGGTTGTTAGGAAGAAAATATGCAAAGTTGGGTATCTTTATTATGAAACGTTTCGCCTCAAGTGGCTTCTTCATCAAGTACAGAAAAGTTGAAAGAAGCAGAAGATCTTGAAGACGATGAAAACAGTCCATCACCCTTAAAGTTTTTGGGGTGGTCAGTCCCTCATCGGGGAGAAGAGCATTTTTTCAAGTAAAAACAATATGGGATGAATGACGGGATGGGCTTTTATAGCGCCAAGATAACGTAGGCACTAGAAGGTAAGAACTCAGATCTGAGGGGTTTCAGCCCCTCTCAAACCAGCCGTTTCCACTAGGGGAAAGTTGTCGAAGTTGATTGCGGTCTTACCAAGACCCCCTTGGTTGCTGTCTGACACTGAACACAAGGGTATCTTGGTCAGACCTGCAACCCTTTTCGACAATTTCCCATAGTGAGAGCGGCTGGTTTTTGGGGGGACCGCCCTCTCAGCATTGGTTCTTCCCTCTCCTAGGGGCCCTACGTCTCACCTCTTGGCGCTAAAAAAAAAGCTCCCCTGTCACTTCATCTCCTATTGTTTCATAATGGAACAATGCTCTTCTCCGACGGGGGACTGACCACCTCAAACTTTAAGGGTGATGGATGATTACTGTCTTAAAGTATCTTTGCTTCTATCAATTTTTCTGTACTTGACTGAAGAAGCCTACGTGAGGGGAACTTTCATAATAAAGATACCTAACTGTTTTTTTATGGTTTTCCCTAACAGCCATCATTTTTCCAAAAATTTCATTCGTCTCCATTCACTCCATCAAACCGCCATGCACGCTTGCTGAATCCAACCCCCTCGCCCACAAACCCTTCCCCCCTCCCCCCAACCTTTTTCGAGGGGGGGCCCCTCCCCCCCTTTCCCTTTCCCCCTACAGTTTATCCCTCCATGTCA